ATGAAATATATCATGGACATTTAAAAGGTTTTTTCGGGTGTTATTAATAAAATTATCGTTTAAACTTCTTTTTTAAATAAGGCCGAACCTTTTTATTTTTTTAAAAAAATCCCCTTTTAATTATTTAAAAGGTTTTGGAAGCTCTGGGTAGTTTGGGCATTATCTGGATCGAGACTAGCTCCAACATGGCCGACCACCCTTCGCGATTCTCCAGCTTGCCGCTGCCAAGGTCGCCTCCATCATGGCTCCGAAAGTTCGGCGTCGGCCTCAGCAAAAACATCGTGGGCTTGGAGATTTTTGCGGGCTCAGCACGGATCACAGGTGCCCACCGGAGATTGGGTTTGTGCATGGATGATCCGATTGACTTGCTCTATGGCTCGGATGCTTGTTCACACCTGATTGATGAGGCCATCCTTGCTGGGCGGTACTTTTGGATATGGCTGGGTAATCTGGATCATCGAGGACCCCTCCGGCCTAAGGGATTTCCAGAGGGGTTTTGGAGTCATCCGGATGTGGCCAAAGGAAATGCGCTTTGGCGTCGTGCCCTGCAGCTTCTGGAGGTGGCCCTCAAGGCAGGCGTGTATGTATTCCTCGAGCATCCCCGTAACAGTGCAGCATGGCGCATGCGTGAAACTGAGCTTCGGTTGAATCATGGGAGTTTGCGTTCCTACACTGTGGATTGGTGTGCCTACTCGGATGAAACTAGGATAGGAGACCCCAATCGGAAGCCCACCCGCATCATCACCAATGCTCCGTGGTGCGAGGGTGTGCAACGCAGATGTCCGGGAAATCACGTTCATGGTCCACCATTGAGGGGCACTCGGGCACGTAAAGCGGGGGCTTATCCTACTGAGTTCTGTCACTCGTTGGCTGATGCGCTCCGGCAATGGTCGTCGTCGGCAATCCTTGCATGAGGCGGTTCTTTCTGCTGATTATCGTCGAGGCTTGCGGGATGCGGCTATTTGGTTGCTGGGGGTGGCTCGGTACTTGGGCTCGGGTGGTCGATGCATGGCTGGAGAGAGCAGTGGAGCATTGCTACCAAACAGGGGAGCGGCTATATCGGGTGCGGCTCGGTGTCCTCGGCCTTCAACGTCTGCTTCACCTTTCGGGTCCGTTGCTGAGGGGAACGTGGGCGGCTCTGCGTGGATGGCAGTCCTTGGTGCCAGTGAGGTCCAGGGTGCCCATGTCGAAGTATATCCTGCAAGCCGTCCTCCTGGTGTGCCTTGCTCGTGGCTTTTATAGTCAGGGTCGTGAGCGTCTCAGGTGGTGGTCATCGATGCTTGGGTGTTGGATTGCCTTTGAAGCTCTCCTTTGCCCGGGCGAGGTTTGTGCTTTGAGGGTCATGGACTTCACTTTTCCGGATCCGGGATTGCCTTCCGATGCAAATGTCGGCCTCGTCATTGCAATCAGAAAACCTAAAACTCGGAGGGTGTGGCGCGCGCAATTTGTCCTTGTGAAGGACGAGCCCTTGATTTCCTGGCTCCGTTGGTGGCTCCATGGACGGGGCCCTAAGCATCAATTGTTGCGTGTCGGGAGGCGCGACTGGGCTAAGCTGGTGAGTGAGGCTCTGGCGGCTCTGGACTTGCAGGATCGAGGATTCACCCTTGGATCTATAAGGGGTGGAGGCGCAACACACTTTTTCCGTGTGACTGAGAACCTGGCTCGCTTACAATATCACGGCAGGTGGTCGAGACAAGAGACCGTGAAGTCGTACCTCCAGGAGGCTTTGTCGACGCAGGTCCTTTCTTCGGCTACTGCTTTAGCTCAGAAACAGCTTGGCCTGGCGCAAAAACACGTGCACTTCTTGTCTGCTCCGCCGCCTTCTTCTCTCAGAAGCTTGGTGCACCTGTAAGGATGTCTGTGCGCTTGCAGCGGGCCTTGAGAGAACTGTCTGCTGCTCTAGAAGAGACTACTTGGGACGTGGTCTCCCCGACTTCCAGCTCAGTGTCCGGCACTACAGTGGCGGCTACTGTGCAGGCCAGCAGTGAAGGGCAAGGGCAAAGGCCGCGGGCCCGTGCAAAGGCTGTGGGTCCTGTGGCAGGGGGCTACACCACTACTGTGGGCTCTGAGGAGGGGAGTGGCAGTGCAGAGAAACCAGGACGTAGGCCTACAGTGTTGGTGGCCGACACTACAGCGAGCTCTGTCGCCTACCACGGAAACGTGCGCCACCACGTGGTTCTCTCGAACCCAAAAGATCCATCCTTTGTAGGATGGACGGCCGGCCCAGCAGCCACGACTTGGCGCCGCCTGGAGGCAAAGTTACCAGGAGGCCAACTCTCCGACTCAGCCGTACGGCTACGGCGAGTAGAGTCCAAGCAAGCAGCCGAAGAACTGTGGAAGCAGTACCAGCCGGGCCGGATGCCCATCCTGCCTCTCTGAAGGAAAGCACAGGCCCAGTGAGGCCAGACGCTGCCGCTGCAGCCCTTTTGGCTGCTTCTACTTGGCAACGTGGAAGTGGATGCGGGGATGAACCCTGCCGAGGTGCTCAGCGAGCCGGCGGCTCGGCAAGCCGCCACCCGCTGGCGCTCTGGCAGTGCAGCCCGCCGTATTACGGCGGCCTTAGCGAGGCTGACTACCTCCTTGCAGTCCTGGGGCTCAGGAACTACTTCTTCGGCAGCAGGAGGCTCACCTGAACTGGTGCCAGTCAGGGCTCGACCGCTTCTCTCGGGGCCCTGGGAGCGGCCTCGCTGGCCTACTCTTGAGGGAATCTTGCAGAACCTCTGGGCTCTGCGCTGGCGGACTTGGCTGGCCTGCTTCTTGCTGCTGTTGTTCCCGCGCGCCTCTGCACTAGTCGTGGTGCTGCTGTGCAGGTACCTGATCAAAGGTCTGGTCGCTTTGATCGTCTACTTTGGCCAGGAACTGTTTGCGCAGATAGCTGTGACGGTGCATGAGGTCGAAGACACCATGGTCTCTTGGCTCGGCTCCTACTTGCACCCGGTGCCTCATGCCCCGGTTTCTCAGGTCCCACTCATGTGGCAACAACCCTCAGATGGCACCGCAGAACGGCCTCCTGCGATGCCACCACAGCCTGGCAACCATAACAACTATGATCACCCGCCCACCCGACCCATTGATGTGCTGACTGTGCTCCTTCTTGCCGGGAACCTCTTGCGCGGCCAGCCGGGAGTGGGTGGAGGTAATCCTGCAGGTTAGCTTTGGAGAGATCTACTACCTCCTAGAGGCCTTCTCTTCAGCTGGCATGTGGATGGGCAGCCTTGCGAATGCCCTGCGGTGTTTCTTGATGGCTTGGATTTCATATGAATCACGATTGACGCCACCTTTGAGAAAAAGAAGTGTGCGTGTGCTGAGTGTGCAGTCGTGCAGCTTGAGGCCAAGGTATGGAGGGAATTAGGGTTTAGGGTTTAGGGTTAGGGGTTAATAAAAGGGTTTAGGGTTAAGGGTTTAGGGTTTAGGGTTAATATAAGGGTTAAGGGTTTAGGGTCAAGGGTTTAGGGTTAAGGGTTTAGGGTACCAAGGCATCCTCTACACTTGCGGGTTGTTAGTAGGGGAATAGGGGAATTGTTGAACTCTAAACCCTAATCCCTAAACCCCCAAACTCTAAGCTCCCAAACCTAAAGTCAAGGATTAGCCCTCGGTACAATGACATTCAGCAACAGGTTTGTAGGGTTTCAGGGGCTTCAGGGGTTAAGGAGTTCAGGCGTTTAGGGGTTTTAGGTCTATATGGCGGAGGGCCAGGAGCCTTTTGGGCCCCGCGCCTGCACCCTGACGCAGGGGATGCTTTCGGCAGGCACAGGTCCCGCTAGCAGTGTCTTGTTGCGCCATTGTTTTTACGAATAGTTGGGAATATGTTGTTATGCCAGATTCAGTGTATGTTTCAATTTGATCTCGCTGCAGCTGCAATGTCTTGCAGCCTGGACAAACAGAAGGCGTATCTTAGACCAGGGCTTGCATCAATCCCAGCATTCCATGGAAGCTTAGGTTGGCAGTGTGAGCAACATGTAGACACACTGAGAAATCCCTTACAACCCCAGGTTTAGGGTTTCGGTTTTAGGTATTGTGGATTCTTGGGCTGATCAAGGGTTAGTTGTTTTTCCAGTGGCGTTCTGCAACCGAGATGGAGAACTTCCGCGCAGAACTTGAGAACAACCCAGCTCTAAGTTTGAAGTTTCACAGCCAAGACTCGACGTGTGCAAACTGTTCAGGAGGGTGCATCCATTTGTGAAAGTTTTTGCTTCTTGATTCGCAAGTTTG